AAATCAGCCGGCCAATCGTGTGTGTGTGTGTGTGTGTGTGTGTGTGTGTGTATGTGTGTGTGTGTGTGTGTGTGTGTGTGTGTGTGTGTGTGTGTGTGTGTGTGTGTGTGTNTTTTTTTTTTTTTTTTTTTTTTTTTGCGCTCATGGCTGGGCCACGGCCGATGTGCTTATGCCACGGCCGAGGTGTCTAGGCCACACCCGTGGCCGGGCCATGGCCGAGATGTCTTGGCCACACCTATGGCTGGGCCACGGCCGAGATGTCTAGGCCACGCCCGAGATGTCTAGGCCACGACTGAGATGCCTAGGCCACACCCCTGGGGAGACGACCGGTACCGGTACCAGTACCTCCCATTTTTGCCAATTGTTGAACTTGCAGGACTGGTACCACTACCGGTCGACAGTTTTTTTGCATTTTTATGCAAGCCCGTTTTGTGCTCATGCACACCTGCCAACTTCTTTTCTTAAAGTTTCTCGTCACATTTGCCTTCTCACACCTGTTTGTCTTCCTCCTTCCCCCAAGACAAAACCTTCCCCTCCGAAATGGCACGCTTTGGAAGGATTATAAAAATGAGCCCAGTCAGTTTGCCATAGCAGTCTCCTCAAGTTCCCCATCGCAAGGAAGACAGTGTCTACTGCGACGCGGACGTCGGATATCACTATTGCGAACTGACCGGGTTCATTTTTATAATCCTTCCAAAGCGTGTCATTTCCGAGGGGAAGGTTTTGTCTTGGGGGATTCTTTTGACTCCCCTCAGCTGATCCTCTCATATACTTGCCTTACAGTACTTCCTTGGCCAGCTACCCACACCACGTGGAACCCCCTGTATAACTGTCGTTGGTGTAAGTTGGGAAATTTGTGTTTGTGGCGATGCTTGGCACTGGTGTACACTACACGCGTGCTCTTCCTGAAAATTTTCGAGTTTTGTTGCCTCATCCCTCTTTGCCGTTCGATAGTGATGAGACTGATGGATCAGACTGTGCATGCTGGCCCTACGGCGGAACGATGCAGACTAACTTTTGGCATTCCCAGCCCGGCTCTGGCTCTTTTGCTCCATTGTCCCTAGGGGCTAGGGGTACTTCTGAGAAAGCTGGTTTCCTTTGTTTCTTTCAACTTTGTGTTTTCTGTGCTTTCTCCAGTTTTATTTCTTCCAAGGGCAACTTCAGAACTGGCATGAGAACCTTGGTTCTGTCCTGGCGAATCAATTTCCCTGCCTAAATCCTCAACCATGCCCTACTCAGGGCATACTCACACGGGGACCTATAATCCCAAAAATCCCCCCAAAAAGGGTAAGCGGCCAGTCACACGGATCTACCAAATTCGCAAATGTACTATTCCAGTGCCCATTTGTCAGCGGCCTGGGAAGCCGCGGGGCAAGGGATTTTGCGGTCACCTCTGGAGGTGACCGCAAATTTCGTTTTTCATTTGTTGCATTTTGCTTCGAAAAATTGGCAAAAATTCGTTCACAAAAGTTCTTGCACAATTAGTGGATGGCGCCGTGTGACCAGCCAAGTACCAAATCCCCATTTCTCCAGACGGTCGCGACCTTGTCCCATCTGAAAAGGCACAGCAGTGTGACGTGAACCATGCCCAAAACCTCAAATTGGCCCTTCCCAAATTGCGGGTCTGGGGTCGCCGTGTGAGTATGCCCTCACTCTGATCAGCGTGTGATACGCAACCTCACGCCCCCTCGCAGCTTCCCGTACGGGGTCGCCGATCAGAGTTCTAGGAGGGGTGTGGCCGAGGATTTTTGGCCGTAAGGGTTGAGTCTCCCGGACGGAACGGGAGGCTCTCGTTTCTGGGCCGAGGTTTTTCTCGGAGTCGAACTGTCCTCGCGAAGTCCTGCGGGGGTCGGATTACTCCGAAACGATAAAATCAGAAGAGTTTCTGTGAAAATGAATTGCCGTCGTGCATCGGGACGGGAATAGGCATCAAGGGGAGGAGGCCATGGCGGCAGACGGCAAAAACTCCGGCCGTCATGGGTTCCGGGGATAGGTGGTGGGTTCGAAGCCTTCAGGCCTCGTCATCGGCCTCACGAAGGGGCAGAACCCTTGGGTCTTTTGCTGTAGAGGTGGTTGGTTCAAGGCCTTCAAGCCTTGGCGTCGGACTCATAGAGCCCGCGCGAAAGTTTCCGGGAGGGTAAAGCGGCGGGAGGACTCGCCGGCATCTGAATTCAAAATTGCGCGGGCAGCGCCCCCGCACTATAGGAAAGCTCGGGGAAACGTGTCGCTCCCTCGTAACCCAGGACCAGCCGTCGCCACGAACACGAGTCCCCCTGGCGACACCAGCGACAATCAAACTGCGGTCGCCACGCGGCGTGAGCGGCCGACCAGGGCAACACCGTTAAACCCGTATAAGGCAATATTAGAGTCGGGGAGTCAAAGCGATCAATCAACACAAACCCGTTCCCCCTTATCTCACAAGCCCGAGGCGGGKCTTGCCAACACACTTGCTCCGTCCGCCTCAGCGCGCGCCGTACATCCGCATCGCAGTAGACGCTGTCGTCATCTGTGATGGGGAAGGTCGGTAGAGAAATGAGACGATCGGAGGTACGGGGTGAACACGGGCAAGATCCCGCGTTCCCGGTCATCCAAACCAACACCGAATCCATACAACAATCGTCGCAACGCTTCTCTCTCAAAAGTGGGTGCGTAGGGGGAGGATGACGAAATCTAAGCTTTCTCCCCTTGGCGGGGGCGTCGACCGTCCGCGCAGGCGCAGGCGGTTGATGTCACCGGTACGGGCACGAGAGGCTCTAAAGGCGATGACTGTTAGTTCAAAAGGAAGGCGATCGAAAAGGGGGAGAGAGAGAGAGAGAGAGAGAGTTACGCCAAGACCGCGCGAGAGCGCAGGAAAGGCCGCGGAGGGGAGGGGAACAACCGGATCAACACACTCATACTCTTAAGCAGACGGTCCCCCAGTTYAGTTTCCCCATCCCCGCCCGGACGAGTWCATACACACATACATGCATGCAATCAACAACCCTTGACAGGACATCTAATCATCCATGGACCTTCGACGTCACTCATGCGCATAACCAGCTCCCACCACTCGGGGCTTCACACACACGACATGCATAGACAAAGCAGCAATGGAGATAAAAGCGAGTCCTTCTTGTACACAAAAAATTCAATTAACTGCTGCCCCCAAGCGCAGTCTTCAAAACTTCCCAAGACCACCGACCACCATAGCCACAAGGCCCTGCCGCGGCCKGCRTCCAATCTMCACCACTGCTCAGTCCCTCCGACTGCTTCGCCCCGAGACTACCGCGGGGTCCACCCCACGTCGTCACTCCGCCCGTCCTTGGGCTCGTCGAGCCTGTTCGGCGCCGCGGACTCTCGCGCATAGCTCGCGCA